TCTTGACAAATATGTGCCTCCCTGGAGCCAACAACGTTGCTGTGCCAATAATATGATGTGGCACATTTCGTAACGAGGTGGCCACGGCTGCTGCCATGTTGAATCCCGCTCGTAAGCTTGCAATGATATATTACGAGTCCAGCAGAGTCTCATTTCAAACGTTGGAAAGCAACGCTATACTGTTATTCCCATCCTTGTCAGCCCAACGCCCACGTGACTCCCACATGACTGCACACAGCTCTTCTGTTCCGCCTTTGAGCCTCTGTTTGTGCCTCTTTTTACCTCTTCCGCCGCCTCTCCCGTGGGACTCACGCCATCATCATCATTATGGGCGCAATGTGCACCTCTCCCGCCGGCCTCCTGCTACTCGCCATTGCCCTCATCGCCGGTCAGTCTTCCTTCAAATTTGCGTTGATTTGTAGGTTTGTTTTGAGTCGACTCAAAGGCATCTACTGCTCGCCCTTCCCTTGATCGCTGCTAAGTCTGCTGCTCTCGCATTCCTGTGATCCGTAAGCCTTTTTTCCTGTTCCCTCCGCCTCTCCTACTCGCTTCGTTTCCCACACCCTCCCGCTCTTCTTTCCCAGTTCTACTCTCACATCTGTGCTCTAATATCCGCTCTCTCATATCCGCTCTCTCCTCACCGCACACCCTCTCCCTTGTCCTCTACAGCAGCTCAGATGATGCAGGCAGCGAATGGCGACAACTCAGTGAAAAGCATCATAACACACCGTAGCTTGCTGCGGAGCATGCTTAAAGGCGCGTATGGGGAAGGCACAGAGGCGGAGATAGCAAGCAGGAAGGTCAATGCGCGGATTGCGCTCAGTAGCACCGGCAGCACCACCGCCGGCAGCACCCCTGCTGACAACACTCCCTCTTACACCCCTGCTTATACCCCTACTGATATCCCAACTGATATCCCTGGTGATAACCCTGCTGATACGCCTGCTGATACCTCTGCTGACACCTCTGCAGACACCCCTGCGGACGGCACCAGCACCACCATTAAAAGCAGTATCTTTAGTGGCAGCACTAGCAGCAGTGGCACCACCGCCAGGAGTGGCAGCACTGGCAGCACTGGTAGCATCACCGTCGGCAGCACCACCACTGGCGGCACCACTGGCAGCACCACCACTGGCGGCACCACTTGCAGCACTGGCAGCACCAATGGTAGGTTCAGAGGATATGATTGTGAAGGGCGTGATTGCGAAGTTCGTGATTGTGAAGGGCGTGATTGTGAAGTTCGTGATTGTGAAGGGCGTGATTCACTCTAGCTTCCTCCGAAGGGCGATTTCCCTTTTGGCATGTCTCAGTCCACTGACCATGCCTCTTGCCTCTGTCTCTGCCATGCAACGTTCCCATTTCTTGCCTTGCGGCATGCCTCAGTCCACTGCAGCGCCCTCTTGCCTCTGTCTCTGTCATGCACACACTGTTTTGTGACGGCTGAAAACACCACTTCATCATCTGGCTTCCTCTGAAGGGCGATTTTCCTTTTGGCGTGTCTCAGCTCATCGCAACGCCCTCTTGCCCCTGTCATGCCCACACTGCCTACGTCCTTCCAACGCCCACCTCTTTCTGCCGCCTACGTCCTTTTGACGCCTATGTCTCTGTCGCTGTCCACAGCAACGTCATCTTGCCTCCTTTTGCCGTATCTCAATCTCTTTTCACTGTCATGCACACATTGCCTACGTCGTTCCGATGCCCTTATAGCGGCTATAAGCATTCATATCTTTGTCTGTTGCCCCATTCTTCTCGTCTTTGCTGCATAATTTTGAGTCGACTCAGAATGGCGCCAGAATGAGACTTTTGAGTCAGCTTGCGCTTATGGCGACCTAGCTAAGGACCAGCTAGGTTGCATTTCATCGTTACCTGCCTCAGAGAGTTGCTTGTTTGGGATTTTCCATTGAGGGAGGGGGGGGGGGGGGGGGGGGGGGAAGGGGGGGGTTGTATGTGTTCAGTATCATTAGTTGTAACTGTACTTTGTAATGGCTCAGACTTGCAATATTGCAAGTTCTCTGGAGGTTATAATCAGGCTGGTTTTTCGAAATGTTAGCCGCCGGTTCTTTCCGTTTTGTTTGTTGATAAACACTCACTTATTAATTAATATTATGACACGTTTTTGAGCTTCCAAGCTAGTGATACTGTATCTCGAAGTCAGTGAGTGCCAAATGAAGAAGAAACCAACTGCAATTATAAACCAGCGTTCGGTGTATGATGTTTCTAATAAGGTGCAGTTTTGGATACGATTTTGCCGAGACTGCTGTTAGAGGGTACAACTGGCGACAAGGGTGCGGCCACCACAACACTGCGATGTGCGAAACTCGGATGACAATTATTCGCGAAATGTCTGGTCCGCCAGGCGAGATTTGCAAGTTGGAACGCAGAACGCCGACGGGCAAGGCAATATTTGAACGCGTCAATCGAACGGCCAGTCGTCAGCCGATTAGCTACTACTTCACTTTTTTTCTGCGACTTTTTCACCCATATAATGCGGCTGTTGGTCTCAAGATTTTTTTCTCATCGTCGCATATCGCCCCACTGCTGAACCTGATTGGAAATCCGCGAAGGAAAAGCGAAGGGTGGCACCACGTTTGCGGCTTTGATTTGTGTTTCGCTAACGACGGCGCATTATATTATTTTTATCACCCCTCCAATTATTTTGTCCCTGCGATTCACTCGAGTCTAGCACTGCCAATCACTACCGTCGCACGCATTGCGGTATCTTCAAGATTCAGTCACTCGATCCAAGCCCGCAGTATTGCCTAGTATCGCGGTCCTGTAATTATATGTGACCGATGGCTGCCGAGCAAACGGCGCGCTCTGTAATTATATGTGACTCATTGGAGCCGAAGCGCTCCTTCTATAATTTCATATGGCACATTTCGTGACGAGGCGCGCGCGCCGGCTGCCATGCTGAATCTTGCTCGTAAGCTCGCAATATAAATCTCAGCCCAGCAGAGTCTCAGTTCCAGCTTTGGAAAGCAACGCTACTATTCTTCCCATCCCTATCAGTATTACTCTACACCCGTGACTCCCACGTGACAGCACACAGCTCCTCTATTCCGCCTTTGCGCCTCTGTCTGCGCCTCTGTTTGCGCCTCTGTTTGCGCCTCTTTCACTCTTCCATCGTCTCTCCCGCGGGACCCCCGCCGTCATCATCATCATGAGGGCGATGCGCGCCTCTCCTGCCCAACTCCTGCTGCTCGCCCTTGCCCTCATCGCCGGTCAGTCCGCTGCTCTCTCAGTACATTCTGACTCATGGCTATAACAACTTTGACTTGCGGCCATCTCTTGCCCTTAAGCCTTTCGAGTCGACTCAAAAAAGAGACTTTTGAGTCGACTCAAAAGTCATTCTGAATCATGGCTGTAACAACTTCGACTTGTGGCCATCTCTTGCCCTTAAGCCTTTCTCCCTGTTCCCTCCTCTTTTTCTCGCTTCGTTTTCCGCACCCTCAGGCTCTTCTTTTCCCCCTCTGCCCTCTCATATCTGCTCTCTCTCTCTCTCTCTCTCTCTCTCTCTCTCTCTCTCTCTCTCTCTCTCTCTCTCTCTCTCTCTCTCTCTCTCTCTCTCTCTCTCTCTCTCTCTCTCTCTCTCTCTCTCTCTCTCTCTCTCTCTCTCTCTTCTCCGCACGCCCTCTCCATTGTCCTCTGCAGCAGCTCACATAATGACGGCAGCGCATGGCGACGACTCAGTGAAAAGCATCATGACTCACCGTAGCATGCTGAGAATCACGAAGCTGAAAGGAGCGCTTGGGGAAGGCACAGAGGCGGAGCCAGCGAGCAGGAAGGCCAATGCGCGGATTGCGCAAGAGACCACCACCACCACAGGCAGCACCGGCAGCACTGGAAGCACCACCGGCAGCACCAGTGGTACGTTCAGAGGGCATGATTCTGAAGGGCGTGATTCTGAAGGGCGAGATTCTCAACAGCGTGATTCTCAAAAACGTGATTCTCAACAGTGTGATTCTGAACAGCGTGATTCTAAAAAACGTGATTCTCAAGAACGTGATTTACGCTTCCTTCCTCTGAAGGGCAATGTCTCTTCAGTCCACCGCCCCCTTGCCTCTGTCACGCACACAGCCTTGCCTCTGTCACACACACAGCCTGCCATTCCGATACCCTTAAGTTGTCCATAAGCATTCATACCTTAAGTCGTCCATAAGCATTCATACCTTCTTTTGCCGCCCCCTTTTCTTCGCCTCTGCTGCTGCAGATCCTGCCTGTGCCGCTTTGGGCTGTGAGCCGGGTGGCAAATGCGAGGTGGATTCGAACGGAACGCGCTATTGCAAGTGGGGTGAGTGAGCATGGCCTTTCTGCCTGTGGGGTGAGCATGGCCTTTCTGCCTGTGGGGGTGGGGTGAGCATGGGATTCCTGCCAGTAGTGTGAGGATGGGGTTCTGGCTTTCGCATTCCCACCTCAATTCAGTGCTGTGAGCCTGATGGCAAATAAGAGGCGGATGCGCACGGAACACTTTTCTTCTAGTGGGGTAAATGTGAGTTCATTCCTGCTCTGCCATTGTAACGTCTTCTCCTGTTCTGCCTGCATACGAGGTGAGTTCTTTCCTGCTCTGTTATGAGTTTAACGAGTGGTATACCTGTTAGAGGGGTGAGTATGAATTTCCTGCTCTCCGACTTCTATCTCGAAGCCATTCACTCGTACATGGTATATTAAACCCCCACCAGCAATTGCACTCACATGCCGCACTGCAACCATCCCCACCCCTCAGACTGACAAGACCATGCAAGACCATACCTGCAGCTGACAACAGTGGGTTGGAGGTGCCTTACTGCTATTTGAGGCGCCGCAGAAATCATAACGCACTGCACCCATCCCCACCCCACCCCTCAGACTCACTCTGTGGCGCCTGCCCCCCTGGAGCCACCTGCAAGACCGTGCAAAACCCTGGCTCTGGCGTGTTGCCGGTGCCTTACTGCGCGTGCCCTAAAGGCTATGGCCTGACGGCCACCGGCTGTGTCAAGGGTCAGATGCCACTCTCTCTCTCCTCACTCGCCCCACTCTCTTCTCACTCGCCCTGCTGTCTGTCTCCTCTCCACACTCCCATTCGTGTATTGCCCCACTACCCCACTATCCCCTCTCCCCACCATCGCCTCTCTCCCCACTCTTCCGTCTCCCACTCTTCCGTCTCCCACTCTTCCGTCTCCCACTCTTCCGTCTCCCACTCTTCCGTCTCCCACTCTTCCGTCTCCCACTCTTCCGTCTCCCACTCTTCCGTCTCCCACTCTTCCGTCTCCCACTCTTCCGTCTCCCACTCTTCCGTCTCCCACTCTTCCGTCTCCCACTCTTCCGTCTCCCACTCTTCCGTCTCCCACTCTTCCGTCTCCCACTCTCCCGTCTCCCACTCTCCCGTCTCCCACTCTCCCGTCTCCACTCTCCCGTCTCCCACTCTCCCCACTCCCACTCTCCCGTCTCCCACTCTCCCGTCTCCCACTCTCCCCACTCCCACTCTCCCGTCTCCCACTCTCCGTCTCCACTCCCATCTCCCCACTCCCACTCTCCCCACTCCCACTCTCCCCACTCCCACTCTCCCCACTCCCACTCTCCCCACTCCCACTCTCCCCACTCCCACTCTCCCCACTCCCACTCTCCCCACTCCCACTCTCCCCACTCCCACTCTCCCCACTCCCACTCTCCCCACTCCCACTCTCCCCACTCCCACTCTCCCCACTCCCACTCTCCCCACTCCCACTCTCCCCACTCCCACTCTCCCCACTCCCACTCTCCCCACTCCCACTCTCCCCACTCCCACTCTCCCCACTCCCACTCTCCCCACTCCCACTCTCCCCACTCCCACTCTCCCCACTCCCACTCTCCCCACTCCCACTCTCCCCACTCCCACTCTCCCCACTCCCACTCTCCCCACTCCCACTCTCCCCACTCCCACTCTCCCCACTCCCACTCTCCCCACTCCCACTCTCCCCACTCCCACTCTCCCCACTCCCACTCTCCCCACTCCCACTCTCCCCACTCCCCCTCTCCCACTCCCCTCTCCCCTCTCCCACTCTCCCCTCTCCCACTCTCCCCTCTCCCACTCTCCCCTTCCCCACTCTCCCCTTCCCCACTCTCCCCTTCCCCACTCTCCCCTTCCCCACTCTCCCCTTCCCCACTCTCCCCTTCCCCACTCTCCCCTTCCCCACTCTCCCCTTCCCCACTCTCCCCTTCCCCACTCTCCCCTTCCCCACTCTCCCCTTCCCCACTCTCCCCTTCCCCACTCTCCCCTTCCCCACTCTCCCCTTCCCCACTCTCCCCTTCCCCACTCTCCCCTTCCCCACTCTCCCCTTCCCCACTCTCCCTTCCCCACTCTCCCCTTCCCCACTCTCCCCTTCCCCACTCTCCCCTTCCCCACTCTCCCCACTCTCCCCTTCCCCACTCTCCCCTTCCCCACTCTCCCCTTCCCCACTCTCCCCTTCCCCACTCTCCCCTTCCCCACTCCCCCCTCTCCCCACTCTCCCCTTCCCCACTCCCCCCTCTCCCCACTCCCACTCTCCCCACCCACCCCACTCTGTCCTTCACCTTTCTCTCTCTGTCAAGTTGGCTGAACCAGCATAGCGAATCCAACATTGCGTGCATGAATGCATGCTCTTATGTCTGAATGTGTTTGCGAAGCCTTAACATTCTGATACGTCTCAAAACCCCAATGTGGCATTGTGTGTGTTTATCAATGTACGAACTTACTTATGAATGCTCCCATTCCCTCTCCCACTCCTCCCACTCCTTGGCAGATGCACCTCCCACCGTCTGTTCCGACAGCACAACACTCATTGTGAATCGAACCGCCAAGGACAGCATGTCTCGGCCTTACACCTTCCGGGCCAATCTTAACGCCTGCTCCTCATACCCGCCTGCAGTCGTTGGCACAGTCTGGGCAGTGTATACCGTTGAAAACATCGACGACGCTCCAAAATGCTCCAAGTGTAAACAATACGCAGCAGAAAACTGCCAAGGCACGGGTGTTGACCAGCCGCCCCCTGAATTCACGATCACCGAACCCTTTTATGCACAATATCTAATGTAAGTATTTGATTCGTTGCACAATGCCCTTTTGTCGCACACATAGTAGTGAGCCGTTGTTCTCTTTCCACCCGCACCCGCCTTCGGCCCTGCACAGCTTTCCCACTTCCCTTTCTGCATCAAACATCAAAGGCAGCATTTGTGACCCATCTTATCCGTTTCGTTCTCCCCTTGTTATAACTAACCAGGGGCTGGCCAGTCAATATTTCTGGCTCAGTTTGGTGCACTCAGTAGAATGATATGGATGACTGCACTCACTGCGGTGTCACCTGCACTGCACATGCTTCAACTTGGATGGTATCTGCGTTGTACTGTGTCAGTGATACCGTAGGCCTAATCTGCCCTCCTCTCAGTGACACCCCTGCTCCCTACCATGTAATGAGATGCCTTCTCCCTTCCTCTCAATGAGATTCTCTCATAGTGTAGAGAGTCTGTTTCTGAGGCGATTTAAAAACATTCTCTCCCAGAGTAGAGAGAGTCATTTCTTTCAACGCGTTGCATCTGCTGCAGGGAAGCCTGGCTTGACGAATGTTTGTAGAGGTTTACGTACTCTGTGACAAAAAGTTATACAATACTGAATCATCAGGAGTGTAGAAGCGCACCTGTGTAACACAACAATTGTGCTGGTTTGGTTATTAAAACATTCAGTTGTGTCGTTGTACACTCACTTATTTATCAAAGGATCTTACAACCCATGCACATGCAGATTCACGCAATGCAGAGCCTTACCGTTCTATAAAAATGGGCTACCGTATATGAGTAGTCAAGTGAGTAGCTGTTAATACGGTAGTACTTGTCAGAAATTAACGAGCAGGAATGATTGAATTGACATCAAACTGAGTACAACTATAACCCTAATTGGGTTGTACCCCATAAATGCTACCCCACTACAGCCTACACAACACAAGTAACATTATAGTTTTTCACACCCCCATATGCAAATTGGAGGAAAACAAGAGGTCACAAGACCAGTCAAGAAAAGCAAATCAAGCTCAGGGTGGATCACAAAGTCACCACACACTCTGAGCACAAGCAAATGGCCATAGGGCCGGTCCACATGCAGAGTTATAAAAAAGACAGCAAACAGTACAATGATCACTATCTAGCAAGTGTAAGCATGCAGGTATATATATAGGTCACAGTACAAACAAAATCAAGCAATGAGCAAGTGAGGCAAAACAGGCACAAGGCCCAACACGGTACAAAAGCGCTGATGATCACAAGGCTGAAGTGCCTTGGTGAATATATCAGCAGTGTTGGCCCGTGTGGCCACATAAACAAGACGAAGCTGACCACGCTGCTGCAGCTCTCGAGCAAGGAAGTAATGCAGAGCAATGTGCTTCATTCTGTGCTCCAGTCTGTGCTCCTAACACAAGAAAATTGCAGCCTTGTTGTCTACGTACATAACTGGAGGAGAACAAGGCCGCTCTCCCAGGTCGATCAGCAGGTAGGTGAGCCTGCGTAACTCCTGTGCAGCCGTGGCTGTCGCGTAGACCTCAGCCTCACAACTGGAGCTGAGAACAGAAGACGAGCGGGTAGACAGCCAAGAAACAAAGTCGGAGCTAAGGCTGAACGAGTAACCTTGAGACGACCGCTGCGTAGTCAGGTCGTCAACCCACGAAGCGTCTGAGTGTCCAGTGAGGACAACTAGACCCCGCCCTTCAAGCACGAGCCCCATGCCCGATGTACTGCACAAGTAATGCAGTACCCTCTTTGTAGCATCCCAGTGCAACTTTCGGTGCCTAAGCGAAGCCACATAGCGTGCCAGAGGGTACGCAAGGTCACGACGAGCGCATCTCATCAAGTACATGAGGCAGCCCACTAGTTCTGGGTACGGGCCACTCGGCTCTACGGACTCGTCCAAAGGTGGAGCTAAGAGTGAGTGATCAGTAGCCAGAAGATTGGACTGTGGCAAGGACCAAGTGAAGCCGAAGCACTGAAGGACCTGCTGCACCATGTGTGACTGAGTCAAGGTGATGGTGTGTCGTGCTATGTCCCGGGTGATTTGCAAGCCAAGATAGCTGCGCAGCTCACCCAGGTCTGTGCACGTGTGTCTCTTCTGTAGCTCCGACTTCACAAGGGCGTGTGCCTCAGTGTCAGCAGTGGCAAAAACCAAGTCGTCGACGTATACGAGGATGTAGAACGGAGGCAGCGAAGTGTCGGTGCGGAGAAACAGCGACGGGTCTGCAGTCGAAGGAGCAACCCCAAGTGCCGCAAGTGTCGTCCTCAGTGTGTCGTGCCAGTCACGAGGCGCCTGGCAGAGACCGTAGACTGGCCATCGGAGACTCCACTGGGTACCTACAGGAAACGACCCAGTGAAGCCAGGTGGACGGCGCAGCCAGATCTCCTCATGCAGGCTGCCCTGTAGGAAAGCAGTGCTGAAGTCAATAGAGTGAAGCTCATAGGCACGCTGAGCGGCGATGTGCAGCAGCACCCAAAGAGTGGTCATCTTTGGGGTAGGGGAGAAGGTATGGAAAAAGTCAACTCCCTGTCGCTGATTGAAGCCTCGTGCAACGTAACGAGCCTTGAAGGCAGACGGAGAACCCGGCGGCCGCTTCACCCTGAAAATCCACATACCATCGACTACGTTCGCCCCAGGAGGGGAAACTGCGTTAACGTAGGTGCCTGTGGACTTCCAGGATGCCATCTATGCGTCCATGGATGTCTGCCACTGAGAGGAGTACTCACCCACAATCGCCTCAGCGTAAGAGCGCAGGGTCGGTGTGAAAGTAATTAGGAAGAGTTAGGCTTAGGAGCCATGGTAACTTGAGAGAGGAGATCGAGCTCGAGTGAGTTTAGGTAAGTCGAGAAAGTTGAAAAGAGAAGTGAGGGGTTTCACTATAGAGCGAGGAGTACAAATAGGCAAGAAGGAAAGGTGCACCACCAAACAGAACATCATATAACTACAGTAGTCTACACTACAGGCAGTTACAAAACAATATATAGAAATATATATTATTCTTGACAGTCGGGATGTCTGGTGCATCCGGGTCTTCCTGAGGGGCAAGCAGCATGGCCACGAGATGAGGTGCATCCGTTGCAAGACACTCAAAGTCCTCCTGGTTGTCCTCAAGGACGTCCGTGCTAAGAGCACACTCAACCCCGACGGACGGAGGACAGACATACTCAGACTCAGCAACAAGACTAGCGGCGTAGTTGAGACGACAGGCAGCAGCAAATTCAATAAGCTCAGCGACTAAGGTAGTCGCAGCAGCAGAATCAAACAAGGGTCAGTGGCAGCAGTGGCTAAGAGATGTATAACAGTAGGACTGGCAGCACGAACCAGGTCAGACTAAGGGTCCAGATTGTGCGGAAGAGAGGACGCAGGAGGAGACGGCAGGGGAACACGGTGTGGAATAGAGGAAGGACGAAGTGCCATTGTGTGCGTGCCGGGGACAGGAGGAGGACGTCATGAGGAACACGACGACTAGTGCGACCAGCACGAACAGGCGAGGCAGGACGAGACGCAGGCTCACGACGCTCAGTAAGACCTCCTTTCTGCTCAGTGTAAGGAGAGGGAGCAGGAAGTGGGGGGCCTGACTGTAACGGGAGACCAGTAGAAGACTGAAGCTGAACCTGGCGAAGCACCGAGCCATGCGGTGGTAGAGACGATGGTGACGGGGGAGCGAAGAATAGACGCGGCGGTGCAGCACCACCAGTACCAGATCCTCCAGCACCAGCACCCCCAGTACTAGTACTAGTAGCTCCAGGGTCTCCAGCAGCTCAAGAAACTTCAGCTCTAGCACCTCCAGCTCCCGGGTCACCAGCTCCAGCGCCTATAGTTCCAGGGCCTCCAACTCCAGAGTCCGCAGCACCACCAGCTCCGGCCGTGCCAGTAACTCCAGCTCCCGCGCCTCTAGCCATAGCACCTCCAGCCCCAGCAGCGCCACTTCGAAGGCGGCAGTGCTGAGTGTACCACTCGCGGTGCTGCTGCGGCGAGAGAGCACCTCTAGAACCTCCAGGACGAGCACCTCCAGGACTAGCAGTGCCAGCTCCACCAGCACCACCAGTACCGACAGTACCACCAGCTTCGGCAGCTCCAGTACCTCCAATACGAGCACCCCGGGCCAGCAGCTCCAGCATCTCCAGCAGCAGTAGAAGCAGCACCACCACCACCAGCTCCAGCAGTTCCAGTACATCCAGTACGAGCACCTCCGAAACTAGCAGCTCCAGCGCCTCGAGCAGCAGCACCACCACCAGCTCCAGCAGCTCTAGAAACTCCACTACCTCCAACACCTCCAGCACGAGCAGCACCACCAACTCTGGCAGCTCCAGCGCCACCAGCACGAGCACACCCAGGACCAGTAGTGCCAGCACCACCAGCACCTCTAGGACCAGCAGCTCCAGGGCCTCCAGCTCCAGCAGCGCCACGTCGAAGGCTACAGCGCCAAGCGTACCACTCGCACAACTGCTCTGGTGAGAAAGGCTCCCGTAGTGTAGACGTAGGACCCCTAGGCCCAGCACCCCCAGAATCAGCACCCCCAAGCTCCGCACGCTCAGGCTCAGCACCCCCAGGCTCCGCACGCTCAGACACAGCACCCCTGGGCTCCGCACTCGTAGGGTCAGCACCTCCAGGCTCCTCACGCTCAGGCTCCGCAACCGCAGGCTCAGCACCCCCAGGCTCCTCGCGTACTGGCTCAGCACCCCCTGGCTCCGCACACTCAAGCTCAACACCCGCAGGCTCAGCACCCCCAGCAGCACTAGAGTCACCAGTGACCTCGACAGGCTCAACCAAGCGGAGTGGGTCTACCTAAGACACACCGGAAGGAGCAGGACCCCGAGGGGGGAAGGGGTCTACCGGAGGGGGACCTGGAGCAAGGAAGAGCAGTGAAGGAGGGGGAGGGGCAGTGCGGTAGAGGAAGAGACGGTAAAAGGGA